CTCTCTCTCTCTCTCTCTCTCTCTCTCTCTCTCTCTCTCTCTCTCTCTCTCCCCCCCCCCGCCGCTCCCGGCGTTGTTCTCCTTGCTAGCCTCACTATCCAATGCCACCGGAGCACCAGCTCACGTGTTCAATCCATGATCTCTTCCCGAATCTAAGCCCAAGGATCGGTCCTATCAACAGTTCACGCTTAGAATGTAATATCGTCATCCCCGCGGACAAATCAACATGGAAGAGACGGCCGTCATAAGAAGACCGAACCAAAGGCATGCTGAGCCACCCCGGCTACTACAGCAAAACAAGAAGGAAGTCCCAGCCCATAGCTCTCGCACATTGCACGATCTGCGATCGACCCATCCACGACACGGTCAGACGTTCGCTTACCGGCTTCGTCTCCATATGCATAGAACACAGTTTCAGTATAGTCGGAATCAGAATCAATTCCTCGAGTTCCGCCGCACAGGGCGTAGTCCTAGATAGATTTCAAACAGTTTGATGAAAAGGGAAAAGCTTTGCAGAAATTCTGAAATCCAGGTTGTGTCGTTGTGTTGGAATTGCATCCACGTGAAGCTAATCGTCAGAGCAGATCGTCTGTGATTCAATGATAGGATTCCATCCCTTCGGATCGACCCTCCCAGTGTGACGCCTTACAACTTGATTACAAAAAAAGTATTTTTACTTCTTTCGACTTAAGATCATCACCCGGCGTAAAGGTCTCATAAGCAAGGACAGCTACATAACTACAAAGTAGAGATTGACAATTTGACGGTAGACAGAAATGGTTTTGATAAAGACTCCATGAGAAGGAAATCCTAGACATGCCACTCGATCGATGGCATTTTATATTATATACCTATTGAGGATAAAAAGGAACAAACTGACGGTCTAAAGACTAGTTAACCAGCTAAAGAAGATTTTCGGAGTCTCCCAGCAAATTCAGAACCCATTGACAAACTCGCAAACGGAACCAAAACGAGATCAATGGTGGCATACTTCGCAAACTCTATCTACACATCTTTCTGAAGATTCATGACTGCTCGACCACCCCCC